TTCGCATATCCTTTCGTACTTTCAGGGTGAAAAAAAAATTAAAGTGAGAAGGCATTGTGCGACAGTTACGCAATTGATATGCGACAGTTTTTCGCATAACCTTCGCATATGGACAATTATGCGATGAATATGCGACAGTTTTCGCATAACTTTCGCACTTTCTGGGATGAAAAACTTAACTTTTTATTGGACGGTGTGAAAAACTTGATGTGTCTTTGTATTGGGGTGAAAAAAGATTTTTTCCCAAACAATTAAATATTAAATAAATTAGTTAAATAATTATAAATAATATGTTTTAGACATATATAGAATGCGGATAATCCTCTCATGCCAAACAACGTGATTTCAAAATTGACTCATATCAGCAATCCTATCAAATTTTATTGAAATAAATATTAAATAAAATGCTTTAAACAAAAAATAGATAAGGAATTAGATAATGAATTTTGAATCTGCATTTTTTTTAGTATAGATAGACTTTACGTACAATTTTTTACTTCACCGATTATGGGATATGTTTTGACTAAATCAATTTATAATGGAATAAGACAAATAAATAAAGTCTTTTTTATCTTAGTAAATATTCTACGTACTTTTTGTTGACTTATCGGATGTTATGAGATTTTTTTTTCTTAACCGATTTTATGAGATATAAGACATATAAATAAAATAATTAAATACAATTCTGGATAGAAATAGCAATGCATTAATTACATTGATTTTTCAACCTACTAAATTTGGTAAATAGGATACCTTATTATATAAGTATAGATGTATAAAATGATTTATTGATTCACGCATGTATTATGCATTTAAACAATCCATAATTTTTGGTTTTCTGTTTCTGATCTTTTAAAATCTGACACATCTCAGAGATATGTGAAGGATCCATTTATTAAATTGGAGATAAAATTGTAAATAGGAAGAATATAAATATTTTATTTTGTTATGAAATGAAGTATTATTCATCACTTTTTTAATATCAAATTAATTAAACAAAAAGAATGAAGCAAACTCGTACTAATTTTTAAATTCTTGTGCCATATTACGAAATCAAGTTTTCAATATCAAATTAATTAAATGAAGTTCTTTTTCTGTATAAAATATATTTAAGGTTTTATTTTCTTACTAAAATGAATGATGCAAACTCGTACCAATTTTATATTCTCCACAATTTGAATAAGGACTCCTTTAAATTTTGAATACTGCTAAATTTCGTGTGTCATTATTTATGTGGAAAAAGTTCTATGAAAGTTGTTAGGAAATTGTTAACAATTCAATTTGAATTTGAATTACATATTTGTTTGAAAATTATTAAGAAATTGATTACAATTTAGTTTGAATTAAAAAATTTTCTTTTTCCTATTTTCTATATAAGTTTGTTAAAGAAAGCAACTACTTTATTTAAACTTTTATCCCTTCTTTATTTAGATATTTTTATATAAGTATAGATTATAAATGCATTAATTACTACTTGATAAAATTAGAAGTTCATTAATTAAGTTTGACTTTTCTACCTACTATATCTAGTAAATAGGTTCCCTTTTAATATAAGTATAGATATAGATATAAATATAGATATAGATAATATCGATATAGATTGTTTATTCATTTGAAAAAAAAAAAAAAAAAGTGAGGAAACAACAAAAGAATTTTACGGCGACTTAGCACTGTGTCTTTCAACTGAAGTCGTTTTGTGGGTTTCCAACGACTTTTGACTCAACCCGTTTCTTCGAGGAGTAATGCTATATGTACATAATAGTGTACATAAAGGTTTACATAATACCCACATTGAGTGGGTCCCACCAAAATTAAAAAATCAAATGAACCCCCTCTCATGTGAGTGTTACGTACATCTGTATGTATATTTACATGTAGCATTTTCTTTATTCGATCGCTACTGGAAAGTGATGAAATTTTGAAAAACGCTTCTTTTGCTTCGACTCTGCTGCACTTTGATCTCAAACTTTGGTCCATAGTACAGCGATCCTGGTGAGTTTCACCGCACCTTTTCATGTAATTCGCTTGCGATCTTTCTCTTGATGTATCATTCTTTTGCAAGATTCTGTAATGTATATGAGATGCGCTTCTACTGTTATGATGGATTTGAACTGGGTTTTTGGTTAAGAAAATCGATCTTTTGATTCGATAACTGTTTCTTCCGATCGATAAGGCCTTATGTTGATTTGGGTCTGATTTATTTCCGATTAATTGTTTCATTGAGCTAAAATTTGCTTGCGATTTTGAGCTACGCCTTCTGTTTAGTAATGTAATAATGTTAAGATTAATCAAATTTGGGGATTTTCTCAGGCAGTAATGAGGAATTCTAAGCTGTAGTTCGACTAGGTTTGGATAATTACTCGACGGAAATGTCGAACACGGGTTGAATTGGAAGAGGAGCTACAACTAATTTCATAATAGCAATGCACAAAATGTTTCTATCATGAATATAGTTGGTGTTTTTGTTGTAAAATGCTATGGACCTGACCTTGGAAATAACGTTTGCTCGAAAAATAACGTGATTGCGAATGATGGGTCTGTGAAGATTCTCATGAAACTATTTTTTGGGCCTATCCGAAAACACTTCTTTAGCTTTAGCAAGCGATTCTATGACAAATTGCAGTTACCTGTTTCATTTGTAAACTTTCTTTCACTGAGTGAATGGCTTTAATGCGTTTTCATTTTCTCGCTTTTAGTGTCGCATCAAGAATATGGCTGCAGCTGGGAGTTCCATGCTATACTCTTTCCTTTTGTTCATAGCCACTCTTTCTCTACAAGAAATGTTTAGGGTGAAATTAGCTTCTTCAGAGTTATTTACTATTCTCGGAGGATTCACGAGCTCCCTCATCTTCCTTATGCTACTTACGGTAAGAGAATATCGATCCGCTTATTAATCTTTCATACTTATAGTATAAGCAGTAAATAATCGAGTCCTCAACCAATGCTAAATGGTGTAGAAAACTTGTTTAATAGTGTGGCGTAGTATATTTAGCATGTGGCTGCTATTTTATATCTCTAAGTTTTATTTGTGTCCTCAGACATAGTCCCTGGTTCATCACCTGGGCTTTAGCTCTATGTAAGCACTTTGCAGTATATTTTACGTCACAAAACTATGGTTCATGTAACATTATGGAGTTGAACTGCTTTGTGTACATACAAAAAACACATCTGGATTAATGTTTGACATTCTAGTAGGCGTAATTTAATAGCTCTGACAATAGTTTAACCATTCTAATGAATTTGCTCTTATTTTCTTTGTGCACCATATTAGCTTGTGTCGCACTGTGGTTCTGTAAATACAATTTGTTTTACCAAATCGAGACACTTTCCAAGTTTCATTATGGTGTTCGAATCTGACATGAATTGTTCTTTCTCCAGTTTATTGGAAACTATCAGGAAACATGTGGTGCCAAGACAGGATGGGGGGCTGGTAAGTACTTACATTCTTCTTAGAGAAAACTCGCATGCATCATTTACTTACGCCGAGGTTCGAATTTGATCAAGTATAACTTTCATGTAATATATATTTTAAGCAACATAAATTTATTTGTGCATTGTATGTTTCTTTCCTTTATAGAATGTTTTCTGACATGTATGTCTTGACTGAAAGTACATATTACTGCATAGCAGAATATATAGATACTTAGAGAGGGATCAAAACTGACGACTCACTCGAATCTTTACCTTTCTCGGGTGGTTCAGTTATAATTGCAGAAATTGTGGCCCTTATAGCAGCTTGCACGGTTCATCGAGTTTGCATTACAACCTGGTAAATTTTATCAACTTATATCTCCTCTTTGTGGCGCGTAATGAAAGGAAAAATTCGAAAACTGTGACCTGTTGCACCACTAACAAATTGTTCTGAACATGCAGCTTTCTTTTTTCTGCTGCACTGCTGTATGAGGTCAACAAACTTTCAGGAATCTAAAGCTTAAAGGATTGATTTGACTGCTCATTCCTTGTTCTCATTAAGAGCTTAGAAGTGTGCAATCTTTAGACTGTTTTATGTTATATTTCAAAATTACTGAACTAATACTAATCAGATGAGCTCGTTGACATCGGCTTAGACAGAATCTGGTTTGCTCGTTAGGGCTCTGTGCTGATCGCTCTAAAAGCATCAGATTTTGGCTTTTTACAGTACGAAATTTTGTGCACGGACAGTCACTATATGCTAGATGAATACAGGACAATTTAGGGCTCTTTCAAGTATTTAGAACAATTAGATGTTTTATGGGGCAAGTTTAATCCTACGCCATGGAAGCACTTGTTTTTATAAACTGAACTTATTTTGGCCTGGGCTGCAAACGAGCCGAGACGAGTCGAGCATTGGCCTTATCGAGCAGGATTGATTTTTTTTTTTTTAGCTGCTCGAGCTCGACTCGATAAGAAAATACAATAGCTCGAGCTCGGCTCGAGATCGACTCGAAATCAAATGCTCGAGCTCGGCTCAAGTTCGACTCGAATTTTTTAAGTGAAATTACTATTAAACACTTGTGTTATACACTTATACTATTTAAATTAAATATGTATAAGGGGTATACAGGTGGCTGGTAAGTAAAAATGGATTATTTTCAAAGCTTAAAAAAAATACTAATTCGGTTAGTTGAGCCGAAAGAGAATAGTATACAGTTTGATTGGTACGTATTTAAGTGAAAAATAATTGCATGCAAAACGTAACTATTACAATTTACAAACTCATTATCATCTTGTCGTTATAGAGATAAATTAAGGGGAACAAAACACAACACAAAAGCAATGATAAAAATTAATAACAATAAAATAATAATAATAATAATATGATGATTACGCGTATTAGTTGGGGGTACTACGCGTATATCAGTTATAGTTCATGAAGTGTTTGATATGTTGTCCAATTTTTTTTTTTAGTTGGGGGTAACTTTTTTTTTTTTTTTTTTTTTTTAAATAATTTTTACGTTCTTAAAACTAGTACTGATAGGGATAATAGTGTCAAAGCTCGAACCGGTCGGAGTTAAGGACATATGGCGGACCGAAAGACATTGACCCAAGGGTCGACCCTATATCGACCGGCTCAAGGGTCGACCGACTGGGGACACATGATAGACCGAGGGTCGAAAGGGTTCGAGGGTCGAACTTATGTCGGGCGGCTTGGGGCATCGACCCTTGATATAGATTCGGGGACCTATTCCCCTGAAAGGGAAGACGGTGCAATCAATTACTATATGAAGGGTAAATTTCACAGTTGGAAAGTAAGACTTCATTTAAGATATTACTGTTACATAGATCACAAACAATTATCTCTAATCCGAGACACTAACTTGGGCGTCGGAGGGTCTTGCGCCGGAGTAATCCGGCGCTCTTTCAGGTACCCGCAAACGTTCGAGTTCTGGATCATGAGTGTGTCATTTCAAAACTTCTCCCATCCTATTTTTTTTTTCCCTAAACAAACTAATTAATAAAATTTTTAAACTTAAAAATGAAGTCATGACTCATGAGTGTGTCTTTTCATCACCATCCTAGCAAAATCTACAAATAAACAAAAGCCAATAATAAAAAGAAAAATATTACAAGTACATAATAAATGTACATAGAAGTGTACATAACATTCACATGAAGTGTGGTCTACTTGATTTTTTATTTTGAAAATACTACAAGTACATCATAAATGTACATAGAGGTGTACATAACACTTACATGTAGTGAGTCCACTTGAATTTTATTTTTGCTGGGTCCCACTCAATGTGAGTATTATGTACATCCTTATGTACAATATTATGTGCTTATAGCATCTATCTATATATATCTAAAAAGGTTGATGTAAAATTCTTTTTTGGAAAGCAAAAATAATTGAGTCAACTGTTTGACTTTCTATTTGTGGAACATCATTAAAAATCTGGATTTTTTTTCTTTTCACATAATTAAAATCTTTTCATCTCACTTTCTGTTAAAGGCTGGCTTAATTAATTGGAATTGATTGATTTCCTCATGTACATGATAAGGCACATTTAAAAAATAATTAATTCTCATGTTTTTTTTTTTGAATGCTCTCCAAAAATAAAATCTATTTTATCCTCAATTTTCGGAGATTAATAATTTGTTAATGGATTCCCCATTTATTTGTGTCATACCTTAAATATTATTTTATTCTCTTTAAATAATTGATTTTTACCATGTACAACCTTTTGGTTACAAATTCAGCTATGACGAATTATATGATTTATTTGAATGTAGATATTTCATAGTACACCAAATTCATAAATATAATATACCATTTCATAAATATGTACAAAATTTGAATGGAGATGTTTTATGATATATATATATATATATATATATGTGTGTGTGTGTGTGTGTGTGTGTGTGTGTGTGTATAAAGGTTTGCATTTATTTGAAATAAAAACTAAAATTCCACCTAAAAATTTTAAAATTACTAAACTTGGTAATCTTTTTGGAAATTTTTCAAAAAATCCCACTTCTAGAAATTAATTACTCATTTATGGTATAAAATTGGCAATATTAATAAATCCGATTTTGGTATAATGTGAAAGATTTTATTTAGGTATCTGATGGACATTTCTATTTTTGGTAGATAATGTTTTGTTATTAATAAATGTCCGAATTTATAGTATAAAGTGGGCGTTTTTTTTATGTGAAATGTACGAATTAAAGTGATATACATTTTATTTAGTTTACTTAGAAGTGTATTTAGAAAATTTTAAGAACAAAATAAGTGGTATGATTTTATTTGGTATGTGTATGAAATTTGAATTTTAGGTTGATTTGTTATACAATCAAGGCGATATGACTATCAAATTTTAACATATTTGCATAACATTTTGCCATGAGATATTGATAATAATTCACTAGATTGGTTTGCATTCATCTTGAAAATAAGAAAGATCTTTGAACAAATATTGTTTAATAAAATTTTAAATTTTAAATTTAATTCTCGAGAATTAGTTGATAAATTTGAACGATAAAGTAACCGGAAAAAAATATAGAAAATTATGAGATAATATATATATGTGTGTGTGTGTGTGAAATATATAATAGAATTTATGGTGTAGTTTAAATTTGGGTTCTAAATTTATAAGTCCAACAAGTAATTATTCATAACTTACGGGTCAATAATTACTCGGACATAAATAAATCAATTATTTATATTTTAATAAATTATGAAACTACTTAATTTTTTTTTTAAAATTTGGATAGTTTATACAAAAATAATTTCATTGTAATTAACGAAACAATCTAAGCTTTATAAATATACCTATTATTTATGTAGATTTTTAAATATCTGATAAAACTTTACAAAAAATACTTATTTTTTTAACAATGTTGTAATCAAATCGATTTTTTAATGAATACTTAAAATAACGCTTATTTTAAAATGAATATACTGTAATTTATTGGCCGTTGCATCCACCATACAAGTTATGTATCAATTTTAAAATAGACATATTTTATATAATTTTTTTTAGCATTTTTAATTTGTAACAAGGTATAAGTAAGAGAAATATTATATGAATATTATTTACTGATAATATTTGAATATGTTAATTTTTCATTATACTTAATTATAAACAAGTTCTAAAATGACACTATTTTATAATGAGTGAAATAAGCATGCAAATCATATATTAAGTTATTATATATCATAAAATAATAAAAAACAGTTATTAATATTCAATTTTTTTTAGGGTATGTTTGGTAAGCCAAATAAGCTAGCTTTTAGCTTATTTGGTTAGCTTATAAGCTCCCTGTTTAAAATAAGCCTTGTTTGGTATGACGAGCTTTTTTAAAAAGCTCGAGCTTATTTCATAAGCTACTTTAGGTAGCTTTTCAAATAAGCTAGTTGAATTTTTTAATTTCAGCTAGCTTATCAGCTAATTTACCAAACACCTTTTATCATATAAGCTAGCTTTTCAGCTATAAGTCATAAGCTATAAGCTATAAGCTCAAAAATTACATATAAGCTATAAGCTAGCTTATCAGCTATCAGCTAGCTTATCAGCTAATTTTACCAAACATAGCCTTATACTAATCAATATTTCTTCATTGATTTAAAACATGTAATTATAACTATCATCCCGTGCATCACACGGGTTTACGTACTAGTTACTCTAATAAAAATCTAATTATTTTATTTCACGTTTTCTATGTTGGGTAGAAAAGAAACAGAGTCATACAAGGTACGACAAAAAGTCATCCCCGCTCCCCTGGGCCTCTCTCTCTCTCTCTCTCTCTCTCTCTCTCTCTCTCTCTCTCTCTCTCTCTCTCTCTCTCTCTCTCTCCTAGCTGGAATCCAGCTGGCACAATCATACTTCGACGACCGACGCGCATAATTTTTCTTGCCTTCTCAAAATTTTCATTTCATATATACTTCGCTACAAATTTATGCTTCAAATAAGCTCTAAATTCATGCTCCATCCATTGATTCATCCTTAATTTTCAGTCTCACTGATTTTTTTTTTCTTCATCTCCTTCATTTTTTTTTTTGAATTTAATTTTTTTTTTTTGAATTCTTTCCAGCAGTGTTCTGTAGCTGCATTTTTCATATCGAACACCATGGATGAATTTGGTGTCTTGGTTGAGAGTATCGGGTTCAGAGCCCATGGAAAATCAGCTCCCATGGCCAAATTGAAGCCAAAACCCAAATCCCATATCGCGCCCAACGCCACCACAGACGCTCCGTCGTACGGCGATCCATATTCCTTACCCGTTGACGAGCTCGATGGAATTTTCCGATCCAATGTTAATATCAGTAGAGCTAGGCAGTCGCAGAACGCCTTTGTCGACGATAATATTTTTGGTGGGCCCGTCTCGAGTGCGAGCCAGTATGGTGGGATCGATTTGGAATCCGTGTTCTCCAGCTCGAATAAGAGGAATTCTGCAGATTCCTATGGTTTTGATGATTTGCTGGGGTCCAATTCGAAGATGGCAGATCCTGTTGATGATTTGTTTGGGAATTTTGGGCTCAGTTCTAGTGGGAATCAGGGGAAAAATGATCCTGGGTTGGATGATTTGATCCCGGGATTTGGTGGAGCTGCCACTTCCAAGAACAGGTATTGGGTGTACTTGAGTTTTGATAATTTGATGTTTGTTTGGCTATTGTTCGATTTTCGGTCATTGTTGTGGTTTGCAGTCTTGCTCACTGTAAGTAGTTTTAGCATTGCAAACTACTGATCAATATTGGGGATTTGTGATGGATTTGATTAGGTGCATGGAGTTTATCATATGTTTTTATGCAGTGCCATTTTTGGTTTCATCTGTTCTTTATCTTCACATTTGCTCTATGAATTTCTTGTTGAGAGTGTCCTGTGCCTGTTCCTTTAACAGAGTCCACCCTGAGGCGAAGTCAAATGTGCATCCATCTAAGTCTAGTTCGACAGGGATTGATGATCCTTTCTTAATCTTTGAATCATCTGCGTCTCAGTCAGATGCCTCTTGGCCGTTTAATGAACCCTTAGGCAAAGTTAATGTAAAAAGTTCAGTTCCATCTACAGCTAACGGCTTTGACAATTTCTTCATGGATGGGCCTCCCAAGAGTGGTTCGAAAGTTGTGAGGAACACGACTAACAAGCCAAGTTCAGGCACAAGTTCAAATGTTTTTGAAAATGCCGATTATTTTGATACAATTTTTGGTGGCAGCAATGCTGGGCAAACTAAAAATGCGAAACAAAGTTCAACGGCTCAGGTGAAATTTTAATTTGGGCTCTTGAACTAATTTTCTACTTTATATTTGTTTGATGATACTCTTGTTAGATTTAGTTGATCTCGTTTCGTTATCCAGAATTCGTCTTTTGATGATTTCTTCCACCAAGAAGAGCCTAAAAAAACATCTTCAAAGGCCACATTCAGCACAAAGAAGGCGCCTTCTGCTACAAATATAGGCAATGATTTCATTTCACTTTTTGGAGGTACTTTTACTTGCTAAACCATTCATCCCTTAAAATAAAGGTTCAATTGATGCATAAGTTGATATTTAGTTCAATAAGTACTTAGTACGGGTTTTGTGGACCTTAATTGAGAGACCAAGCTAGCCAAATAGGTATTAAGCAACTCGTCGGATCAAAACAAATGGGATCAAATTCCTGATGCATGCATAATGTAGAGAAGATGAAATCAATTGTATTTAATGAGCAATGTACTTATTGAGAATAACATCATTATGGATTTAAAACTCTTCGACTTGGACATTTGCACGAAGCCAAGAATAAGATTTGCCAAAATTGTCTCTCATAAATAGTTGATCACATAGAAAATTTGGAAGTGTAGGAGTGATGAAAATATAGAAAATATAAAAATTAAAAAAATAAGTTGAAAAGTTGGTAAGTGAAGCAAAGATAAAAGCCTTCGAAAACTTTTATAAGATATTAGATACGAAGGAGGGAAAAAATGACATTTATAAACTTGCAAAGCAAAGGGAAAGAAGACAAAGGACTTAACGGAAATTAAATGCATAAAGATGAAAAATGTGAGGTATCAGTTAATAATAAAATAATAATGGACCAGTTGAAAGATTATTTCATAAACTATTTAACGAAGTAGATAATAGGAAAATATCACTAGGGGATTTAGAGTAAAGTGAGAAATACAGAAATTTCACATGCTATAGAAAAATCCAAACGAAGAAGTAGAGAACAATGCAAAAAATGAAAAATGGCAAAGATGTAGGTCCCGATGATATCCCAATAGAGGCATGGAGTTGCCTTGGTAAATTTGGATTTGAATGCTTACGGACTTGTTTAATAACATAATCATGAAGAGTAAGAAAATACCTAACCAATTGAGGAAAGTACATTAATATATTTGTTTAAAAATAAAGGAGATATTCAAAATTGTGCAAACTACATGGGCATAAAACTAATGTTTCACACAATGAAATTATGGGAGAGAGTAATAGCAACTAGACTAAGACAAGAAACAAACATAATGGAAAACCACTTTGACTTTATGCCGGGAAGATCAACAATGGAAGTTATTCATGAATAAGGAGACTTTGTGAACATTTTAATGAGAAAAAAACAAAATTTTCGTATGGTCTTTATTTACCTTGAAAAAACTTATGATAGTGCTAATAGAGGTATAATGTGGAGAGTGTTAGAAAAGAGGGGGTGTGAGTTGGTTATATAGAAGATATGTATAATAATGTGAAAACATTTGTGGACACCACTATTGGTTGGCATCAAGGTTCAACATTGAGCCCTTATCTCTTTGCATTAGTAATTGATGAACTTACGAATCATTTGCAATTGGATGGCACCGATTACATGTTGTTTGCGGATGACATAGTGTTAGTAGATGAGACGAGAGAGGGGGTAAATGCTAAGTTAGAAACATGGAGAGATGCACTTGAAACAAAAGGTTTCAAAATAAGTAGGGCCAAGACGGAATATATGGAGTGTAATTTTAGTATCAAAGGAGTAATAATGGGGTAAAGGTTAAAATTTGGGAACACGAATTGAACACATCAAAAAGATTTAAATGTGCAGGATCCATTTTAGAAGATAATGGCAACATAGATAAGGATGTAACACATAGAATTCAATCGGGTTGAAACAAGTGGAGGAGCGCGTCGTCCATACTTTGTGATTGTAAAATGCCAGTGAGTTTGAAAAGGCAAGTTCTATCGAACGACCATTTGACCGACGATGCTTTATGTAGTCGAGTTTTGGGCTACTAAATATGAAAATGATCAAAACATGCAAGTGACAGAGATGAGAATGATGAGATGGATGTGTGGGCATACTAGTTAGATAAGATTAGAAATGAAAGTATTAGATATAAAGTTGGAGTAACGCCCATAGAGGAGAAAATGAGAGAATCTCAATGAAGATGGTTTGGACATGTGCGTAGGAGACTCCGAGGCACCGGTGAGAAGGGTAGCAACATTAAAATTAAAAACACAAATTAAAAGGGGGAGGGGTAGACCAAAAAAACTTGGAAAGAGAAAATAAAAAATAATTTAAAATATTTAAATTTTAATGAGGATATGTGTTTTGATCGAGCACGATGGCGACATATGATCCATATAGCCCACCCTACTTTGTGGGAATTTGATAGATTAATTGAAATAGTTGATCACATACATACAATACTGGGGCAGATGCTTAATATACAGTAGACATGGCAAAAGGAAATACATACATGTAAGTTGTACTTGGATGTCCTTTTTGTGTTGGTAAGCATCATGTAATCATTCTTCATAAATCAGTTTTGATTATATCAATTACAGACGTCCTACTTCTCCTAAGTGATTTGAAGCCTTCATATAGCTCAAGTTAGTTTCTGGTCTCGCTGAACCAAATACAGAATATGCAATTAATATATATTGTGAAGGTCGTTTAAAACTTGACATAACGTGGAGCATAAAACTTGGTTTGGCTTCTCTTTGGTTTGCTAAAGATGTCTTATAGTCTTCTTTATGACTTCAACGGATGGTGCAATTCGATCAACTTAATGATGGAGCATTTCGATTTACTTGACGTGTCTTTGTTGAGCTTTATTGAAATTTAAGGAAATTTCTTGTCTGTCTAGAGATATGTATGCCGATTTCAGATGATATGAATCATCATTATCTTTCATCTGTTAACATTCAAACTAGAAGCACTGTAGCAGGCTCCATAAACCGGAGTTGCAATTTGGATATATTTGCTCGTTCGATTAGAAAGATAAAATTGTTTTATCTTATTGTCGATGGTTATTCGTATGCTCTACAAGAACAGTCTGTTCCTCTGATAACCAACTACTTGACACGATAACCGACTTCTTGGTCGTGATTCAAATTGTCTAACACTGCCATTAGAATCAGCATTCTCTGCCTTGCAATAATTAGTTCAATTTATGCTCCGTTTTCTTTCCATAAAGATGTAATGAGGATAAATGGTTATTAACTATTTTGCTTGCATTTCAATAAATCACTTGATACATAAGATGCCTGCTTGCAGATCTTGACACTTCATCTGGAGAATTTCATGAAATCGAGGGGGAGCCTGCAGAAAGACGAAAAGCTCGGTTAAAGCGTTACATGAAAATGAACGAACGGATGGTATGGGTTTTAGGGTCAGTGGGCTTCATTACATTTAGACTAATTACCCAATTACTAGTGTAGTCTATTTTTCCGTCCCCAGTAAACACGTTTTCCTGGTCATGAGAATGTTGTTTTTATTCGACTCTTTGATTTCCATGCAGTGTATTTCAGATTTTTTTTTTTCCTATTTTCAGGCTGAGGCACTTGCTGAAAAAAATCAACGAGATCTACAGATTCAGTATGAGCAGGAAGAGAAACGTGTAAGACTACTGACTATCTCAAGAATGCGTGATGCCCACTGAGGCCATGAATCTATAGGAAATATAAATGTGTGTTTATGCTTACTTTACTCAAGATTTTTGCCTTTTCTGCGGACATATTGGAGCACACTCAGACATAAAAAATAAAGGTTGTAAGCACGTGTTTATGTGCGAACTAGGAATGACAGATTAGCTTTTATGATTTCAATGACCTTTATTTCTCTTCATTGATTTGAACTTTATTTCAGAGGCTTGCTGAGACCCTGGACAATGATATAAAGAGATGGGCTGCTGGAAAAGAAAGCAATTTACGTGCCTTGTTGTCTTCATTGCAGCAGGTGAGTATCTTTAAACATTTTATTTACTTGTTTTTTTTCTCACTGAAGTTCAATATCTCGTCACTTCTGGAGTTTGAAATATTTCTGGAGGATTAAGATTATACAAAGGTTTCTCTTTCACCTTATAAGCTTGATGATTGTTGTTGTGTGAAGAAAAAAATTTGAAATATGCTCAAAGTGCACAAATATTTCATCGTTACATTTTGTCCAGACAAGTTGCAAGACTCCATACACAACAGTTGGTTGGTTGTTTTGATTTTTTTTTTTTCCTCACTTGAAGACAATATCTGTACTTACGGTATGCTTTACAGGTTTTGGGGCCAGAAAGTGGCTGGCGCCCGGTTTCATTAACAGATATGATTACTTCTGAATCAGTGAAAAAGGTTTACAAGAAGGCAACTTTATACGTCCATCCAGACAAAGTTCAACAAAGAGGAGCAAATCTCCAGCAGAAATATGTGGCGGAGAAGGTTTTCGACATTCTCAAGGTACTCTTTAAGTTTCTAACGAAGCTGCATGAGCTTTTATATGCCTAGCGTAGGAATTAGGTCCGTTAAGAAATTAATCACTGGTGTCTTAGGCTCTTAGCCAAATCGAATGGGAAGAAAAAAAACGGAACTAATTACGAAGTTATATACACTCCATCATCTTTTGGGGCATTTGCAACTTTGGAAGATAATTGAAGCCTCGTGTGGGCTTATGATCCTGACATACCGGGATGAAACTAGCTTAGGTTTTTTGTTTAGCCATGTGAGAAGTCGACTAACTAGCTCTTTTGAATTCTTATGGTCTAATAGGAAGCATCGAACAAATTCAGCGCCGAGGAATTGCGATAAGTTCTCAATACAGATGTTTTCATTTTTTTTTCTTTTTTTTTTTGTTAAGTTTATGTTGAAACAACTGTAATCAGGCGCCAGGTGAATGAAGCTTTGTGCCAAAATAATCAACAATGCAGGAGGATAAAAGTCACCATTTATTTGCCACGATTATGTTTTGTTTTGTTATATGTTTGTAGCGAAATGAATTATTACGCATCCAAACTTATACTCAATCTAATACATAAATCTTGATTATTTCCGAGTGAAAAGAGATTACTGTTTAAAACTCGTGATTTTTTTGTATTTTTTTTGTTTGGTAAAATTAATTACAAACAAACAGGAATTAAAGTAGCAAATAGTTTCTGAATTAAAATATAGGGAAATTTCAATGAGATAAATTTGGTAACTTTTATAATCAATTTCCACCCAATCATCTTTTTAGGGTGGAAGATTAAGAAGATCCTCAGTTTTTGGAATTTGATACTACTTTTCACATAGAATCTCGGAGGTCAATTAATGGTGCCCCATTATCAGATTGACATTTTAGAAATATAACTATTCAACTATTATCTCAATTAATTAATAAAAGAAAAAGAAAATAAAAAGGAGAGAATTATATCCTGCACTAGAAAATTCAAATTTATTTGCACAAATAATTCTCTTGTATATTTATTAGTATATAAACCAACATTAGCAAAAATAATTGCAGTTTTACTAGAATTTTGTTCAGATCTCATATCTTGACTTAATTAATAAATTTACTAGCTAATTAATGGTACTAGTATCTTCACCCGTGCGATGCACGGAACATATTTATTAAAATATTTTAATAAATACATTAAAATATATAGATATATATATATATCATAAAAAGTAAATGACAAATAAATAACATTATTATTGAATAGATAGTAAAAGTACAATATTATATGGTATTACAAATTATGAAAAACTTCTTGATAAACAACATTTTTAGTAGTTTTCTTTTCCCCATTGTCGTCCCCCACATATTAATATCTTAAATCCTGTGGATTAGTGACTCGAGACACATCAACGTATAATTGACCATGACTAATAAACACCAGTCTTTTCATGTAAAGTCCGACATAGAATAACGACTGCTCTCAACTCGTGTTGATTGTCATTGCGTAAGAAAACATAAGAGTAAATTATCTACGTTGGAACTTGAAGGGTATCATGAGATCAGATGGAGTTAGGGAAAGTCTTGATACCAATAGCTTATGTCCACCATTTGATCCTGTTAGAATCTTACATTCAAACACGTGAGTGAAAAGTTTAGTTATCACCAAGCGTGTTCCATTACATAGTCCAATTGAATGATCAATGTTTCTCAACAACATGACAGGAGTCCCAACCTTTAAGTGCAATTCATGATTTTGAAAACCAGAACATTTAATACTATTTAAGAACTCCAGAGTGTGCAGGTCATGCAAGAAATCAACACAACCATCGAATTTGAATATGAGAGAACAATATAACGACACAGATTTTGAATATGAGATTTATAGCGTGAATTACTCTTATTCTGTACTCAAGTATCTTGGTTACTTTGGGTGTATTTTGTTAAGCATTCACAAATAATAATGCTTAATTTTTATTGACATTAATATAATTCAAGTATTTTGTTAAGCATTCACCGGCAAAATTTCAAAAATGATACATTAAATTGGTGTTGTCAACAAAACAAATATTTTGTTGTCCCTCACGGAAAGGAAATATTTAGTTGACAATTTGGTCGGAAAGATACATTAATCACTCAACCTGGATAAATAACTGACGTGGCCGGATTAGATAATGACGTGACATTATATATTTCCTTTATTTCCTACGTGGCGTGATATGTCATCCTTCTCTCCACGTACACAACTACGCATAGATAAATAAAAATAAAAATAATCTAAAAATAAATAAATAAACAAATAATAAAAACACATCATAAAAAATAAAATAATAATAATAATAATAATAAACAGAAAATAAAATAAAATCCAAAAATAAAAAAATAAAAAAAATAGAAAAAGTATATTTCGTTCTATTTTGTCAGCTATATATTAATAAAATATTCAAAAAATTAATATTTTGTTAATATATATTAAAAAATAAAAATAAAAAATCGTTAATATTTCGTTTAATATAAATATATTTCACTAATATATATTAAAAAATACTAAAAAAAGAAAAATGAAATTCATTAATAATAATAATTATATATAATTTATTATACTATCAAATATAATACTTTGCATAATATTTTATTTATTTAATATATATAAGTATATTAAATATAAATATAAATTTATATTTAAATAAATTTAAAAATATTATTTTAGATATATATTTTTTAAATAAATTAAAATATATTTTTAATATAAGTTTATATTTTGTGAATTGTATTTAATACTTATATATATTAAGTAAATAAAATTTTATGTAAACTACTATCTTAGATAATATAATTAATAATAAATTATATATAATTATTATTATTAACAAAATATTTATATATATATATATATATATTAGCGAATATATTTATATTTAACGAAATATTAACAAAATATTAACAAAGTATTTTTTATTTTTTTAATAATTTTTAATATATATTAACGAATTATAAGTTTTAGAATATTTTATTAATATATAGTTTAGGAAATAGAACGAAATATATTTTTTTGGGTTTGGATTTTTTTTTTTTTAATTTTTATATTTTTTAATTTTTAGTATTATTATAATTATTTTTATTTTTCTGCTGATGTGTCTTTATATTTATTTAGTTTTGAATTTTTTATTATATTTTTATTTATCTATGTGCAGTTGTGTATTTGGAGATAATGATGTCACATCACGCCAAAGAAACTAAAGAAAGTTATAATGTCACGTCACTACCTCATTCGGCCATGCCAGCTTTTTTATCCAGGTGGGGTGATTAATATATCTTTTATGACCAAATCGCCAACTACATGTTTCTTTTCCGCGAGGAACAACAAAATATCTATTTTGTTGACAACGCTTAACTTGGTGTATCATTTTTAAAATTTTGCCAGTATTCACCATTATCATGTATTCACCATTTGCATATGCACGACTTATATTGTGGGTAGTGAATAATTTTAGATTACCTTCCAAATGTTTAGGACTAATTACATCAATAATTAATCTATATTAAATATTTTTATGGTATCAAATGATTTGGGTGTGCTTGTCCTGAAAAAACTTATATGTCAATATATATGTTAAGTATTATTTTTTTACGTCTCCGGAATAAATTCTATACCTAAAATTGGATTATTTACTTTTTTTTTTGTGATTTCTTAGTTTATTTAAACATATTGAGAATCAATTCAAAATCTACACTATTATTTACTTTTCTCAATGATTATTTACTTTGCTTTTGTGATTCAGAAATATATTCTATCGCTATCTACAATATATTTAAAAATCAAATTTAATTATGAGAATCATTAATTATCAAGTCATGTAAGATACTCATTCTATATTAAATTGATAATTAATTATTATGAATGATTTAATAAACTAAAAAGACAAACATACTAATTATATATTTATTTCCAAAAATATTGTTGATACCATTTCCAAAAGAAGCATTTACATTTATTATTAGTAACCTCAATTCCATCAACTCCCTCTTTATATATATATATAGATGATTCCATTACCAAAAAAGGTCCCCGATGTACATGGTATGAAAATTATCCCACTACCCAAAAAACTGCCCACTAATTTCTTGGCTCTTCTATTCTTCTACACTTCATATCTTTTCCTATTCTTCCCACCTGCATATTTAATATACAACAACTCCAAATAAGTACATAACATATACAGACTACATAACAGACGATATACAGATTCACTAAGTACAGAATATATACATATTATATACATAAAAGGTACATAATATATATAGATTATACACAAACATATCTACAGATTATATGCAGTCTCAGTAAATATAGAACATATACATATTATACCCAACAAATATGCATAACATATACAGATTATACACAAGTACATTCTCTGAGTATATGCAATTTCAGATATTACAGAACATATTATATACAACACATATACATAAAATAAGTACGTAACAGATAACATATACATAACTTATACATAAAAAAATCTACATACTTGTACATCGAGTGTCGCGACTGAATGTGTATATTATGTATATGTTCGGGTTCGTGCTTACATGTTGTGAAAGCGTGATGTTGTGATCATGTATAAGTTGTATATCTTGTCGTGAATTTTCGGTATTTTTCGAGAGAGATGATGTTCTTGAATTTCAAATTTTATTTCTTTGTTCGCTGATATAAAAAAGCTTCCTAAGAAATAGGTTATATCCACTTTACTTTTCTTTCCCAACTGACTTACTGCTCTGCGTGATTGTGGGTGGGAGGGATTCCGTTGAATCCGACCGTTTTGAATTCACCATAAAATAAATGCACTTCAATTTGGTAACCATGCTAATAAGATATGGGATCTCGTATTCTTGCAAAATATGTACATTCTTATGATATTCAAAAAATTTTGCCAATAAAAAGGTTCTATATTCCAAGCTCTGATTGGACTTTGGCAAAGTTCCGACAGGTCTTCGGAAAAAGATCTTGATTCATGTAAAATCAAAGATTATCACCACCTATAGCCACTACCAAAAGGTGGAGGCCACCACCACATTTGGCTATGCCCCACATCCTACCTACCTTTGTAATAAAAGTCGGCCTAGGTACTGCCTAGGCGCTAGGCGACACCTAAGCTTCACGACTTTTGTCTAGGCGATCGTTCTAAATGCAATGATTAGATTGCGCCTAGACGGTTTAGGCGGTTGTAAAGCTATTGCGCCTAGACACTCGTATATTTTGTTTTTCAAATTATTGAATTTACTTATAAATAAATTAAAATAATTACAAAACTCTAAAGAGCCAAGTCGCGAGTGGGGGAAAGAATAAGAGCTCTAACTCTAGCCTGGGCACGTG